CTGCTCGAGTCCCTCGAGCCCCACGCTGGGCTGAACAGCACCTAACACCATTTCTGCATCTCTCCAGCCGGGACAGGGCGAGAGGAGCGGAGCGGGTGCCTGGAGAAATCAAGGCACGGCGAGGGCTGAGAAGGACAGCAGGCAGCCGGCGGGGGACACCTCCAGGAGAGAGGATGGAGGGGGACGATGTCCTGCCCTCGCTGGTGGCTCGCCATCAGGTATCTGTGCGGGTTGGAGGGTGCCGTGGGCATGGAGCGAGCCCCATGGAGGGAGGTGGGCTGTGCTGGGGACCCCACCTCGGGGCACGGGGCAGGCGCCCGGGGGGCCCTGCCGGGGGGGTGCCGGCATGGCTGGGAGCCACTCCGTGCCTGTGGCAGCTGGCAAAAATCACTGACAGCATATTTTGATGATGACAGGACTGACCTTACCCTCCCAAGGGGTTGCTGGGCTCCAGGAGGTCTGGCCCAACTCAACAAGGATTTTTTTTGCCAACCAATTCCCCATGGATGTAGCTCTGCTCCACACGCTCCAGCTGGCCCTTTGCTCTCCTGAGGCTCTAACCAAATCAGAGCTGAGCCTCTGCACGGGGAAGCGGGTGATAAGCACTCGGACAAGAGCCATGGGGATGGTAAGGCAGGCGGAGAGGTGCCCCAGTCCCTCTCTGCACCTCCCCTGGGCCTTCCTCGCCCCTTCCTCATCGCTCAGACCACCCTTCGTGGCAATGCTCATGCAGGTTTCTTATGCCGCGTGCCGCTGGGCTGGCAGCAGCCTGAGACCCCGTAACCTTGAGCTTGCACCTCAGGAAGGCATCGCTCTTCACACTTACAGCACTTTAATTAGCGGTGAGCCCTCAGCCCTCTGTCCCCACTTAAACCCGCTGGAACTGGCCAAAAATTGCAGGGAGAGCGCCGGATGACCAGCTGGGCGGATAACGCGGTGAAGTCTTGCTTTCCCAGAGTGACCTAAAACGAGAGCCGAGGTGCCATGATTTGGAGCATCACGCTTTCCAAAAAGACCTCCCTGGGCGCTATGGGTTCAAAGAGATGCTTAGAGGGGGAGGTGGGGCAAAACCCGCTCCCAGCCATTTGCTGGCTGATGCTTCGTGCGGCCCCCCCGCCCCCGCAGCTAATTCTGGATGAGATTTGGACACAACCGTTTCCCCGGCCGCTGCCGTGCTGCGGTCCAGCGTTTGTAAACAGCCCCGAGGTCCTCAGCAAGGTGTCATGGGAGGAAATAGCTGCATGCTGGGGAATGCAGCGTCCTGACCTGCTGCGCACCCTTCTCGGTGACTAACCCGCTCCCGATTTCCGCTCAGGAAGGCATGAGACGTGGTAGGAGGATGTGAGAGCGGCTGTCGTACTGCTCCTGGCAGGTGTCACGGGGCGTTGGGGCTGCTTTGGGCTCTGTCCTCGCCACGCGACATCCATCCGTGACTCTCT